CTACAATTACTAAAATTATCATAATTAAATTTAAGCAAAAAAAATAGCACAATTCTAGAATCAAAAAATGTTTCTTTCTTTTTAAATTTAGAACTTCAAAATTTCAAATTAAATTTTCATGCATACATGCACATGTCTACATAATTAAGATGACATACTTTTAAAAAAATTGTAACAATCAATTGCCAGTTGTTTAAATGCATTTCAATCCATTTTATTAAAAAAAAATACACACACATACACATACAGTCTCGGTAATCTGAATAGTTAGTTCATACATCATGCAAAGAAAGTTTTCACTGTTAATTCTTGTTACTGGACATTTAAATATAAAGTAACTATATAACAAATTAAATATGTTTTATACACAACAAACATTCAGTAAATATCAGGATAATATGTTACACAATAATTTTTTTCAGTTAAAAAAAATTAAACATGTAATAATTTTAAAAATTATAGTTTTGAAATATATTTTCACCAATAAACTAATTTTATTTACAACACTTTATATAATTTACTGGAATATTAATTAATGTTAATTTTAAAAAATAGTCATTCTTTGACTGAAATTATTATAATACTTCTTTTGAATCCATAAATTGCTGCTTTAATCCTCCTTTCGTAATGTCAAAACCAATAAGTATATGACACAAATTTTGAAAAATTTATCATTTGTCTTACCTAATTTAAAATATTACTTAAGAATCATTCAAGGGAGATATACTGACTTAATAAATTAAAGCGTTTGATATGCTGTTAAAGAACAATACCCTCCACTCGTTCAGGTCCTAGCTAGTATCAAAATACTCTTTCTTTCCTATGAACAAGCCATGCTTGTTCAATACTATTTTCATTTTGATTATTTGCCAATTTAGAATATATTATGTCAATACAATCATCTCTAAGGCATTTACAATAAAGATATTTATTTTCAAATTAGGAAAAAAAAAAGTTGTTAATATACTATTTATCTATTAATTCAAACACAACTACAATTTTATCATTTCACAATAAACTACATCTTAGAAAACTGGTATTTTGAAACATTGTCCATTGATTACAGAAGTTTTTCCTAGTAAGCAAACAGTTTGAGAAACTTGAAAAATATCCAGATATTATTCATGATGCTTTTATTGCAGAGTAATTTGATATGGATAATTTTTTAATATAAAAATCTTGTTTGCTGGGTTCATAATCACTACACTGTCAACTTTTAATAATAATGAAAGAGAAGTAAAGTATGATAAAATTATAAAAAATATTTTTTGAATAGTGTGTAATAAATTCTTTCAACATTTTCTCTAATTTCCATATTTTATATATACAATATATACTGATAATATAGGAATCAATCAATTTCAAATTTACATAATTAGGTTTTCTGTATACTTTACATAATAAAACTATGTTATTTCTATCCCTTTTCTGTATGAAATCTGCAATAATTAAAAGAAAGTATACAAAAATTGCAATCCATTGCTAATTTTTTCTGTTTGTCATATATAAGCAATAAAATGAAAACATGTTATCAGAAAAATAAGAAAAAAACCCTTTAAATATCTCCTTTTCTGTACTCTAAACAAAGAATCCCTGAAATCCTACAATGGCAGTATGTCCCAAATATGTTCAGCTCTGTCCCTCACAACACAGTGGGCCTAGAAAAAATGCCATCAGTACAGAGGGAAAATACAAAAGGGTACTTGATAATCATATAACTGACTAATGTTTTTTTAAAGCATTTTTGTTTTTTTCTTTTTTTTAAAGCAAGCTACAAATAAAATTATTATTACATAAGTTGGAAGAATAGGCATTAGTAAATTTAAAATTCAATATCCTTAGTATATTATATTAATACTTGATAGCCTGATTGTTATAACATTTTCTTTCTTTCTTTTTTTTTTTTTTTTAAATTAGAATTATAACTTCACCCCTGTTTCTAAAGGCAAGCAGAACATTACAAGAAATATTACATATTTTGAAGATGGTACAGAAAATTCAGAAGTATTTAAGAAAATAAACATAAATAAAATAAAAATGTCACACTTATAAACTGCAACTGTATGATCAAATAACCAACACCTAAATGTGATTTCCAGCAAATAATAAACAAAAAATTAACTCCTCATCAGGAATGAATACACACACACAAACACAGATAACAGTTCTATCACTCAAACTTCATTGTGTTCCACTCTTTTAAACATTTAAAAAAATGTTTGATATGGACATTATCTTGTTTACATCACAAAATTTAGTAAATAATTATTTTTAAAGCAAGCTACAAATAAAATTATTACATAAGTTGAAAGAATAGGCATTAGTAAATTTAAAATCCAATATCCTTAGTTATACCCAGTATGTGGATGATATTTTGATTATATGGAGAACTAAACCTGATATAGGGAAGGTGGTGTTTGTAAATGTATAGGATCTGCCCATGGGTACAGCCATTCATTAATTAATCAACACCCTCGCTTCCACACAGCAATCTAAGTTAGCTGACACCAGTATGAAGGTTAACAAAGCAGAGTGTAATCGTGTAGTTATATGTTATGAACAGTCCCTACAGCAAATTTACAATAGGGTTGCTAGTGATTTAAATTTGCTCTTAACTTATAGAAGAAAACCCAACGTTTTTCATCTTTTAGCTAATGCAAAAGACAGCTCGGATGACAAAAGTGCCAGGGATGTAGTGTATTCCATTACAAGATGGGACGATTTGACAGATGTATGTCATACATCAGATTTCTTCAAGCCAGAATATGTGACCATAAATATGATGTGGCCAAGGGAAATTATAACACAGCACTTGCCCACTATGCTGCCAAACCTGGGGTTTCCTCCTGTTGGGATAAAGCTACCCTTTTACATAGGGTCTTTGAGCAACACAACATACAATCTTTTGAGGCTTTAGAAATTTATATAGCTGATGTAAAGGAAAATTGCATCAACTTGAACTGTATTCCAGTACTGCAATCGTAGAAATATTATTTAGATTGCCACAGAATGTAATAATAATTTTATTTGTAGCTTTATTTAAAAATAATTTATTTAATTTTGTGATGTAAATGAGATGTCTATATCAAAAATCATTTTAAATGTTTAAAAGATTGGAACACAGCAAAGTTCAAATGATAGAACTTTTTTTTTTATGCATTCATTAGTGATGAGGGCCTCCAAATGATGGCCAAAAATATTTGAACAGTAAATTTTTTGTTTATTGTTTGCTGGAAATAGCATTTAGGCATTGATTATTTAAAAATAAACATAAGATAAACAATAAAATAATTATTTTTAAAAGTTGAATACAAGAATCAAACTAATAATTAACTGTTTTAACATTGTTAAGTAGCTTAGAGGCCATAGGAACCAAATATATAATGCTAAAAGTGACAGATTTGATGCAAGTTTGATGTATTATGTAGAAATGCAAACACATTATATGTAGCATGCAACATTACAAATAAATTGATAAACTGAATAATTAAGTAATAAATAAGAAGTGTTGTTGTCTATAGAGAGGAGAATTTTCTAATGACAATAATTAGAATGAACAAAAAAAAAAAAAATCATTGCTATCAATACATATTTATATTATATATCATCATTAAAACCATTCTGATGTGTAAATGAGACAGTAAATTCATTAGAAGATTAACATTTGAGACATCATTCCAGAAATAAAAGCAAATATATCAACATATTTTGAACAGACTAGTTAAGACAGAGATTTATATATACCCATATTAAATACTATGTATATAGAATTCGTTAAAATTCTGCATTTGAAAATATCAATAACTAATGTTAAAAAATAAAAACATATATCACAAACATTTCTAAAATTTTATTCTGGCATCTTCCAAGTGATTTGGTTATTTTTAATTTGAAATTACCAAATAATTTTGTAATATTTTTTAAAAATATGATCTTAATCATAATATAAATAATAATTAGCTGTNATGTATATTATTTTAAAAAAGAAAAACTGTCTCAAAAATGAATGGAAAAAAAAAATAGTTCCATCATCATAAAAATATACAAATGATGAGAGATGATGCACAATACTGCAGTTTCTCTTACAGCAAATGCCAGAAATGTCCCCTAGAAGTTCTAAAATCTGGAAGAGCAAAGTCCAGAGACTTACAAAATCAAATTCCACAGGAGATTATGTGATCGGCAAAGAAGTCTTCCAAAAACCATAGTCCGAAAACCGGAATGACCATGAGCGAGCGGCAACAGCATCTACTGCAGTGGAAATGCAAGACATACAACTTACGAGTCTCATATGCTATGCCGTACAACTTTAATGTTGTTACAAATTTCTCACTGCACAGTAACTTTTTGGATACCTTGTATCACCTCACAAGAATTTAATGAAAACAAAAATGGCAACCAGAAGAGGATTTATAAAGTTAAACAAAAAAATTCATTTTAATTATTCTCTCAATGAAACAGGATCATAATTTAACTATGTAAATATGAGACAATGGTATCTGTTCTTAATTATATGATTACATAGAAATTCTAAAAATAGAACAGTTATTTAAATATGCTGCTCTTATCCTCTTAAAAAATATATAAAATAATACATATATATGTGTTCAGAAACTTTAAGCTAATCCTTGTTTACAATCATTATATATTAATTACAACAGTTTGCATATAAACAATAATTAGATTCAGTTATTTTTTGTACTGTAATATGAAGTTTTTCGTGTAATAAAAGCTGCAATTACAAATTTTTAACTATAAAACAGTTCATTTTAAATCTTGATATTAAATATAGCATGATATTAGGATAACTACATTATTATTTAACGAATATTAATTAAAATTGAAAATGTTTTATTTCGTAATTTACACTTGCAAAAGTAAAACACAGACGAGTTTAAGTCATTACATTATTTGTAATTTCAGATTACCAAGACTGTACTGGAGGAAAAGAAAGAAAGAAAGCTTAGTGAAAAATAGAAATATGTATAAAAAAATAATACTTTTTTATCCTCTCTAAATCGGCTTGTTTTTTCACTCAGTCCCAATTTTATCCTCTGAAAAATTGTTAAGAGTCCTTGTTTATTTACTTTATTATTCAAAAATATACTGTTTTAAATTGCAGTACAGTAAAATATTTCTGAAAATTTTTGTTTAAGCATAATTTAAATAGTTATTTAGTTTCACATTTGATATATCATTTAATAATATAAATACATCAATTAAATAATAAATCATATAATTTTACATGATAAACTTATTTAACATCAGCTACAGAAGGAAAATGAATTGAATAATTTTCTAACAAATCAAAAATTTATTTATGTATGTGAAATTTAAATATTGTATTTAAATTAATATTTCAAAAAAAAAAAAAAAGTTATATTTAACTAAACAATTGTCCATAATACAATGTAACTTTAATAATGCATACTATTCAAATTCCATTAAAAAAAATGCTTATATTTTTTCAATAATGATATCAGTTCAAAGTAGAACAACACGCTACAAACAAATAATTCTAGACTTCTCTCTCTCAGTTTAGTGACAAAATTTGTGACATCTCAATGAATAATTTTCAAACTTTTATCACAAAACTTCTTAACATCAAGAAATAGAATTGGCATTCGTTAGTGCTAGCAAACATATAAGAACATATCATATTTTAGATGAAAAATGAATAAACAAAAACAGGATATAAAAATTTCTAAAATAATATTAATTTTCATTAAATATATTTTAACATTTTGTAATTATGAAGTATTCTACAGTAAAAAGCAAATCAAATATGAAATAGTAATTTCATCCAAATTTATATCTGAAAGATATTTAACTAGTGAAGAATAACTTCATTTTCTTCATAAATGATAGTTACCACTATGTCTATGTGTAACTCATGGACAAAAATTGATAATCAAGTGTTGGTTTCTCTTAGTTTTAAATTGTTGGGATACGCAGAAAAATGTAATTGAAATTGCTATCGTATCATATGCATACAGCAATGATGTAATAATATTATAAATGCCAGTTTCCTAAAATAAAATGCTTTCTACATAATGGAACACATTTCATTCCTCATCAGTCTATTTTTTGTATGCTTTTCTCCACTTCAGTCTGGTAGATGACTATTTCTTTAATACAGCTAGTTTCACCTTTGCCTTTAAAAACTATAGCCCATCAATCTCAGTCTTACCATCATTTTATCACTGATATTAACTAAATTCTACCCACTAATGATTTAATTCTTTTAATATCATTAATGATTAGAACAGACTCTATATAATTTCCTGCCATCTTTCAATGTACACTCCTGTTTCTATCTTAAGCTTTTTTCCCCTTTTTTATTGGATCAGTGAGTTGATTTTTCTTTCACAAAGTTAATATAGTAGTTTGTACTTGTCCATACACTATTGCAACTTGTGTTCCTTCCTGCAATGAGTTAATAATCTGTCTTTTGCATTCTCTGGAAGCTCAGCTCCAAACTATGCTTATCTAAAAACCAGCACAAAGATGGAAGGTTTATAAGTATTAGATAATTTACATATCCCTAGATTCCCTATCTTTATGTTGAGTCAAGTTAATCTGCATGTTTATTTACTCAAAAATTGTTAACAATGATGTTTTTTCTTTGTTAAATGGTATCAATTATTTTCATCCAAGGGATGCAGATGTAATTTTTGTGATTAAGAACATTAAAAGTATTCTTTCAGAAAATTAGGACATTTGTAGTATTATTACATCATTGCTAAATGAATATAAAACAACAGCAATTTCAATTGCCACATTTTGTGTAATCAAACCACATTAAAAGTAACAGAAAGCTTTTTATCACTTAGTTTTGATCCATGGATTACATTTTGTAATAAAAGAAGTTCATTATTGCTCAAGTAACTGCTTCCCATTTAAAAAAAAATAATATATACTAATAAATCTTAAATCATTGTCCAAGGTTTGAAATAAAAAAACAAATAATTGTAAAGCTAATTTTTTCACTAAACAAAATTATGTAGAATTAAACACACTAACCTTGAGATTCTGTCAGCAGATTGATGAAAATCCAGAAAGCCTATGGTATTCCACTTCTGAAAATTATAACCTGAAGGAGGTCTTAGAAGTAGACTAAAATCATTTGTTTTTCTGGATTTTCATCTATTTGTTGTTACAGAGTTTTAATTTTAAACTCTTGCCCAGTTTGTTAAAATTAGGTATATAAAAATATTCTATTATTGTTTGTTTTGTCTGGGTGTCAAGTGTTTAAATTATCAGAAAATGATAATTGAATAAAAATCCAGAATAACTTATCCTTAAGGCATGCAGACATCAAAATGGCAATTGTTCTATATTTTTATAACTTTTCCTTTTCCAATGTAACATATAATTTTTATGCGCCATTTATTTAATGCTAACAATTTTGAAAATTCTTATCTGAATGCTCAAAAATTTCTTTTAGTTCTTAGTTTTAGTGACAAACACTTATTTTTGAAGCATAAGCATAACTTATGCATCAATAAATAAATTTTTTAAATATTTGTTTGAGAGAAACTAGTCTAGAATATTCTGAAAGAAAAAAAATAAAAAAAATATTGATCTGAAGCTGAAGTCAAACCCACAACTTTTGCCAAAGTCTATATATTTCTCTGGTCTGTGCACTGTCCTATACTTTTCATCTAGTGAGATAAGTAAAAGAATTTTGTCCTAGCAGTTAATACTGCAGTCACATCTTGCCACAAAGTAGCTTTCTAATGTATTAAAAAGTAAAGATCTAATCATGTTTGTTTTCTTTCTTTTAAACTGTTAACATTTTTTTCACATTTATGATCTGTATACATGGGCAAATCCATGGGGAACTATAGAGGCTTAATTTAATTAATTAAGCGCCCTCCTCCGTTAACACCAAAAAATTAGTATTTATTTGTTCAAACTTCAAGATGTTTTATGAATGTTTAGGATCATCTACTGTCTGTATATATATATATATATATATTTAAATATTGTTTAAAGTTTTGTAAAATTGACATCAGGTCATGCCTTAGTATGTTGTCCTAGGATGCCAAAGTGGATACTACAAATATATAAAAATTGGTTGAAAAAAATTGGTTGAAAAAATTTTGAAGTTCAGACAGTTCTTGAAAATATGGGGACAATTGATAAGAGAGAACAAAATTTTATTTAGAAGACAAGACCATGTCTATTCCCAATCTGAAGATAAGTTATTTCATTATAAAGTAAAAAACGATGTTCGCCTAGGTCCCTTGAAATAAATTTTTATTGATTTTCTGTCCCTACTTATGCCATTGGATAAAACATGCACGCATGTATTTATTATGATGATATAATAGACAATTTGTAAATAATTTGTAATAGTTTATTTTTTGGTCTAATGTTGTTAATGGAGGAAAAATATGTTTCATCAAGCTTTCTGAAATGTGTCTATTAAAAAATAAATAAATAAAAATAATTCTGCTGGTATTGTGTATTGTTCAAAAGAAACAAAATAAAATCAAATTTATTAAAATTTCTTTTAAAACAGTGTTTTATTTAATTTTATTTTCATTATTTAAATTTTTTTTATTTATATGGGATGTTCAGAAAAAAGCAGGTTAGAAATTCAAGTTACAGGATTGACTATGATAAATTATTGTTGTTTATTATTATACAGAATAAATTCATACTTTATGTTGTACTTATGTCATGATATTCTAAAGTAGATTTTCCATGTTATGAAAAAAAAAACACAACTAAGTTTTGAACCTTCATAAATCAAAAAGTATGATTTAATCATTAGGCTATTCTACATTTCTATATGTAGATGCAGCTGTAAACTTCTATTGCAGAGTGTAGTCATTAATTCATTTAGAGGGAAGTGCACAGACCATAGAAATATACAGATCTTGCTTCTGTTTACCATGCAGAAATTCTGGTAATTACACAACAACAACTTCTGATCTGATCTTTGCTTCCAGACCAATTAATTTAGAGGATATAACCATACAGGTTGCTTGCTTGCTGCATTCTAAATTAATTGATTTCTAATTATTAAATATAATACAAGCTAGTGGATTAACTGCCAACCTTTTAGTACCTAGTTTCCCTACAGAGAAAACTAGTCATTACACTTGTTATATGTTTCAGTTTAGTTTTCATCATGAATAAATGAATACTACTATTATTACTGAAGGCAAATGAAATAAAAAAAAAACATAAAATAAAACAAAAGAAAAAGAAACATAATTCTACAGCAAAAGACAATAAATGGTTATGTACAATTATGTAAAAAATGTTACTATATTTCAGTGAAATTTTAGACAAAAAAAATTGAAAATTATTAAGAAATTTTTCTTATTTGTGTACTAAAATGGTACTTTATAATCAGTACTGAAAATATGATAATTAATTAACTTTATTAGTCTAATTTATTTACTTTACAAAAACTTGGGCATGGTCCATAAAAGAAAAAGAAGAGAGTAATTCCACAAATACTTGTAGAATTACTCATTGTGTCATTGTGTTTTATTTTTTGTCACCTTTAAAGGTTTTGTCAAATTTTCTACAACTGAAATTTGTGAATAATGTCTAATGCATATACACACAATGCATAAACAAAATGGATATTGCAAATTTATATACAAACCATTTTCATATGACTATACAATTTAAAATAATTTCTGTCACTTATCCAATTTTGATCTAATATCTTTTAACGAAATCTAAATACCGTTCAACCTAAGACACTTGTATCTATATATTCATCATCATGGAAATAAATATTGATCATGTTATTATTTAATTTGTTTTCTTCTCTGAAAATTTTTTATTTATTGGAATGGTTTTAAAGTAACAATTTCTAACAATAAACAGTAAAAAGATAATTGAAATCATTCCACACTTTTACAATTTATTTATGTCCATAAATGTAAAAGTTTGCAATGTGGCATAAAAGCATAAAAAAAATCTGCTTCTATAAAACATACAATTAAATTTTCTCAATAAAAACATACGAAAATGTAAAAAATAATAAAAATGACTAAATTACAGCTTTCAAAATGCTTAAAATCTAAATATAGGAAGTTTGACATCAATTCATGATGATGTTATTGGGTAAGTTCAATAATCTTTGAGTTAACAGTAGTTTATATTGCTGATGGAAAGAAAGCTGTTAAATTTTGGCGTTATCTGAGATAGAAAGCAATAAAAAAAAAATAAAAAATATGATCAAATACACAAAAATTACAGAGAAGGAAAACTTAATGAGTAAATAATTTGCAATATGTTAAAGTAGATTGCTAAATTTATATCATCAAAATAAAAAAAAAAAATAAAAAACAGATTTTATTAAGAACCTTTTGGACTTTCAACGAAGAAAAATCTAAAACTATTGATCAAATTGAAACTGATCAACAACAAATTATTAAAAAAATAATGCATAGACATTATAGATTAACCAGATGTAAATAGTGCCAAAAAATTTCTTTCCAACTTAAAAATGTTTTTAAACATTTACAAGTCATCTCAAATTAAATGTAATTTTTTAAAAAATCTCTTTAATTTTAACTACAATAATTTTATAAATTAAAATGACTTGTACTTAATAATTAGAATTTTTAAATGATCATAGATTGTAAATAATAATTATTCAGAAATTTATTTAAAGCAATATAGTATTGAGTGATCAATAAGTAAGTCAAAACAGCTTAAATCAATGTATAATGATTTAAGCTGTTTTGACTTGTTCAACAGTTTATTATGTATAATATTTTTCAACAGCATATTATTGTTTGAATGTCTAGACATTCAAACAATAATATGCTGTTGAAAAATATTATACATAATAAACAAATTCTATACTTCATAAATATTAAAGTGTTTAAATAATTAAATAATGTGTAAAAATTTTTAAATTTTTACACATTATTTAATCATTGTATTAAATGTCACTTGAAATTCATAATAAGAAATTCATAAAAATTATAGAATACATAACATTTTCTCATTACAAATTGTACTGAATATTGTCATTAAAATACATATCCAACTTTTAACTTTCTTAAAGTCATTTTATTTTTCCAAAATTTGAATGTGCTGATATATGAAGTTATTTATGGCATAATTGTCTCATTACTGAAATATGAGTTAATTTTGAAAAATATATAAATTGTTTTGATTAATGATGATTCACATTTAAAAGTAAGTATAAATGGAGTATAAATAGAATATAACAATAAAAATAAACTGAAAAATAATTATATCATATAAAAAGTAACACGTACAGGGTGGGCCAAAAGTCACTTTACCATAGAAAGAGCTCGCCTTTGTAAAGAGGAAAATGGGGATCATTTAAAAGATGTTATCTTTCATGTTTAGGCCAAAAAAATCTCCAAGAAGTGTACATTACAATGCTAAAAAGAAACTTATTAAAATGTCTTTTGGCCCACTCTGTATACATGATAATTAAAATTCTCACTATACAAAAACAATCATCATAAAAGATTTCTAACAAAGATAAAAATGTTATATATTTTAAAATATAACTTACTTCAAGTAACAATGGTCCCAAAACATCATTTGCCAAAATTGTAGGTTTACTGGAAGAGACTTCACTTTGTTGTAATTCATCACTTTCTCCAGATTCTATAAAAATCAATACAATAATGTAGCAAACAACAACAAATCCATCTAATAAGCTATTCAGTCTAAAATTCATATTTGTTTACAGAATCAATTTATAATATGATATCAACAGACATGCTGATTTAATACAAGAGAGATTTAACTTGCTAGAAAACATATTTTATCTACTGTCTTACATAGACAGTTTTGATTTTTATGATGTAACTATTGGATTATGGAACTTTCAATGGTTTTTAGTTATATAACTATACACGTAACCTAATACATTAGTATTACCAAGCAATATGCCATATTTTTATCAGGCTACATTAAGGCTAATGAATAATCTGAAACAAAGCAATTTGGGTAGATTGTTTCTAACTAAATTGCTTTGTTTTAAATCATTCATTAGCCTTAATGAAGCCTGATAAAAATCTGGCAGATCATTTGGCTTTTAGTTACCATATGTATCCTAAAAGTTTGTGAAAATGTAAATTTGAATAAGCTTGATAAGATTTGTCTAAACAAATAAAATAAATTTATTGATTCAACATCCAATACTTAGTGAATCATCACTGGTTTCTTTCATGACGTCATATTAACTAGATAGAAAACACAGTATGTACTGAGAGTATACATAATGTAATGTAATTTGTTGTACTATAATTACAAGAATCTTGCAATTATAGTACAACAAGAAATAAAAATCTTGTAATTATCAAAAAATACATTTTAGCAAAGAAAAAAAATTACTTGATAACTGTAATAAAAATTTTATCTATCTTATTTTGCATTTGAATCTTAATACAGTGCACCTTACTGGTAATGATTAGCTTTTGCTAAACACACTGGATCTTGTCAGATTACCAATGATGACGGCATAAAATATCAAATGTATTGTTTATTCCTGTCAAAAGGTTGATTGCACTAACCATCCAAACCCCAGGTGAAGAGAAAGGTTTGGTGGCAGAAAAAAATTACTTTAGCTACTTTTTACGGTTTATCAACAACTTTTGTATAAGGAAAGATATTGCTAACCTCATATGAAGAATAAGGGTAAGATCATATGTAGTATACTTAGTAAATCATTAAAATTACTTTATTGTAGACAAGATTTTGTTATGTATCAGTAAAGCTTTCGTGAAAATAAAAACACACATGTTTTGTTACTATATATTTGAATTATAGACTATTTCTCAATGTCTAACTGCATTTTAATATATTCAATAAAATTGTTAGCAAAGCAATTTTTTGAAAATGTTTTATTTCATGACAATTAGGATGTTATATAGTGCTAAAAATAGCCTTCAGCATTTATATGGTATATAGTAAACACCATACTGAGTAAAAAAACCAACCTTATTAAATGTAAATTGAAAACTCAACCATTTCTGAGATAGATAATCCAACAAAGAACTGGAATTTTTGAGAGAGTTCACAACTCTAAGATGATGATGTCAAACATGCATGGAAATGTGGAACACCTGCAAATATCAACGAAAAGGTTATCCTCTCTATTCATATCATGTGACACACAAAAGCCAGTAAGTCAATTGTTAATAGGTCAAACTGAACCATTTCTGGAATATTATTACTAATGTTATTTTACTCAGTACTGGATATTAACAGTAAATAAATAAAAAAACCCAAAAATTTAATATGAAACATGCTTTCAGTAGATTTAATTAAACCACCACTGTCAAGTTGGAGAAGACATTCAAATACCAAATGTCAGTTCACTACAGCATATACTATCCACCATATAAATTCTAAATTTTTTTCATTGTTTTTTAACACCCTGGATATAAACAGGGTGAGAAAAAAGTAGGTTTACAATTTTACTTATGAATTAAGACATACACATTATCATTATTAAAATAATAATAAACTCTGTTTTAAATACTCAACTGTAAACTTACTTCTGCATCATCCCTATAGGTTATGTGTACACAAACAAAATCTATTGATTTGAAAATTTTATTAAATCATACAAAATTCTAAGTTACCAATTATATTTGATTAATTACATCCCATGCATTTGTTTTAATGTACCCCAGTCCAGGTACTCTGTAATATCTAAAGATATTAAAACTAACTACAGTACAACCCCGCTTAACTCTGATTCAATACAACCATTTGCTTGAAGAAGAAGAAGGAGGAAAAAAAAAAAGCTCAAAATTTACGTCAATTTAAATTATCATTACATTTTATTCATTCATATATATAATTATTTATGAGTACGAACCAATCAGCAAAATGTGGCAATTCGTTGTAGTGCTGTATTTCTGTTAAATCTACATTTGTTTTGTGCAATTTTGGAAAAAATATATCATGGATGCCATAGACAATATCAGCTTTGCTTGGCAAGAATTAACTGATAAATGCACGAACGAAGTGTGGAATAAGTTATGGCTGAAGTTATCCAAGAATTCTCAACAAGAAGAGACTATCGCTGTATAGTTAGGTTGATCAAACTCAACGTAATTGATACAGCAGAGCTAGAAGATGTAGACGAACAGGATATTGAGGAGTTACTGCAGGTTTCTGGTGAGTGTCTTATCAATGACAACCTTCAAGTTGTCATTGATAACTTGAATGAAAAATGACATGGAAATCAAGGCAAAACAAGGAATCCATGTAGAACAGGAAAATAGTGATTCTGAAAACAAATAACCCAAAATATTTCTCTACAGATTTCCTTAGTAAAAGTTTGGTACGATAATCAGAATTTTTGACAAATTGTAGCGAATGATCTAGATTTTGAAAGGAGTGCAAAAGCAAGATAAAGCATTTTGGATGCAATCTCCTACTACTGATATTTGTTTAAGGAAAAAAAAGGCAACAAATGAAACTACATGACTATCGCAGAAAACAAGAATTTCAGAAGAACCAGGATCTTCATCACAAAAAATGAACTTTACATTTCTGTGCGCTATTTAACATATATTATTATGCAAATTAAGGTAAAAATAACTTTAATTTTAAGTAAAATCTGTTTATTTTTGGTCACATATTCCCCTTTCCGTATTTACTCTGTGTCAAAATGACCTCATTTAATGCTGCTTCGTTTAGCACTTTGTCATCTAGGAACATATCCTCCATGTTAAGCAGGGTCATACTGTACGTTAAGGTACCAAAGTGTGAGGTTCATAGAATTTTTTTAAAGAATATTTCCAAGCCTTTCTCTCACAAGAGAAAATGGATTAGGGAATGTTGGGGAGTACAGATGGAGGGGTGTTAGGTATCAGTTTATGGAACCAAGGGACAGTGACTTGAAGAAGTTTGGGAATCATTGCTGTAAAACATTTAAAATTTTCTGGCACAAAATATATTGACATATTTTAAATTATAAACATCTATACACAATAATAACTGTTCCCCTATGTGTCTAAACTAGTTATTAGGTTTAATGTGAATGTAATAAATCTTTGTACAAATCAATTTTAAAATATACTTTCATAATATTCATAGTGCAGTCATCATTTGAGATATACCAATTGAGAACAACTAACTTAAGTTGACAATACAATGCTTTTGTATTTCATAATAAACTAGTAGCTCGGGATGCCTCCTAGTGGGTGTTCTTTACAAATTTCCATGAGGCACGGTTCCTTTGACTTTTTTGTTCCTATCAATATGTTCTACAGCTCTGTTAAAGTCCGAATGGTAAGATTTACCCTCCGAATGAAGAGGTGGCGACCCTCCCAAACCGTAAACCCTGTATTAACAATACAGCCTAAGGAACCATACCCCTACTCGACCCTTCGAGAGATATAAGCCCCTGAAATAATAAATTCCTCTTACAAATATACTGAATTATTTATATTGTTATATTGACCAAATAATAATTTATTGGCCAAATGAATAATAAAAATTTATATTGTTAATTTAAATAAGAATTAAAATTGTTAATTTGAATGTTTGAAATATGACACACGATAGGGGCGCCTCTAGTGTCTGTTATCAAACGGTTACGGGACAGACACCCGTTGAATGGGTTATATATATATAGATTAACTGCTGGTGAATGTAGATTTCTTATGTTTTATTCCTATAGAACTGTTGTCAGAATGAATAACAGCATAATTTCTTTTTCATATCTATTTTATCTGAGTTATGCTCACAGGTAATAGATGTCAAACAGTAAATGATTACCAAATATATGCAGACAGATAGTGAAATATCTGGAAGGAGCTAATATGTCACTCTCATGGTGGCTATGTGGAATAGTCATTTAAAAAAATTTTAATGATTATTCCTTACTTAGCAATATTGAAGTTATTTTATTTACTAATCTACAGTATCTTTCACACATTTCCAGCAGTCACCCAACACTACAAAATCCAAAGTGCTTGGGATCTTGCAATGTTGGGTAACTGCTGAAAATGTGTAAAAGGTATTGTAGACTAGTGATTTAATAATTCCAGCTTTACATTTAGTCTGTGCCTAATCATTACTGTGTTATCATCTGATTATGAAATATAGAATTATTGAAATATAAAAATATTAAGATTTAAATATTTGAAAAATTAATATTTTTATGAACTAGTATATTCATTAACTAGTATAGATGATGGCATATTGCAACAAGAAATCTCACTAAAAATTAAAAATACTTGTTGTTATGGAATAATTGTTTTTTATTTTAGCTTTTATTTTGATTTTTAATTTTAACCAATAATTTGTCTCACATCAAATGAAGTACATATTACTATAAATATACAAAATATGAATTATTACCTTAAGAACATTTCTTAATAATTACATTCAATTAATTTTCATTCATTCTGTTTTTGATACAAATATTTAAGATAAATAATAATCTAGGTAAATAAACCTTAGTGAAGATACTCACAAACACCATGACCAGTTAAAATCCCAAAGACATTTCTGCTTTTGATATAGTATACCTGATGATGTCCATTTTTAAATGGATGAAAATGTGTAAGGAAAGCCTATTGTGATTTTAACAGGTCTTGATGTTTGTGAGTTTCTGGTGAGTGTCTTATCAATGACAACCTTCAAGTTGTCATTGATAACTTGAATGAAAAATGACATGGAAATCAAGGCAAAACAAGGAATCCATGTAGAACAGGAAAATAGTGATTCTGAAAACAAATAACCCAAAATATTTCTCTACAGATTTCCTTAGTAAAAGTTTGGTACGATAATCAGAATTTTTGACAAATTGTAGCGAATGATCTAGATTTTGAAAGGAGTGCAAAAGCAAGATAAAGCATTTTGGATGCAATCTCCTACTACTGATATTTGTTTAAGGAAAAAAAAGGCAACAAATGAAACTACATGACTATCGCAGAAAACAAGAATTTCAGAAGAACCAGGATCTTCATCACAAAAAATGAACTTTACATTTCTGTGCGCTATTTAACATATATTATTATGCAAATTAAGGTAAAAATAACTTTAATTTTAAGTAAAATCTGTTTATTTTTGGTCACATATTCCCCTTTCCGTATTTACTCTGTGTCAAAATGACCTCATTTAATGCTGCTTCGTTTAGCACTTTGTCATCTAGGAACATATCCTCCATGTTAAGCAGGGTCATACTGTACGTTAAGGTACCAAAGTGTGAGGTTCATAGAATTTTTTTAAAGAATATTTCCAAGCCTTTCTCTCACAAGAGAAAATGGATTAGGGAATGTTGGGGAGTACAGATGGAGGGGTGTTAGGTATCAGTTTATGGAACCAAGGGACAGTGACTTGAAGAAGTTTGGGAATCATTGCTGTAAAACATTTAAAATTTTCTGGCACAAAATATATTGACATATTTTAAATTATAAACATCTATACACAATAATAACTGTTCCCCTATGTGTCTAAACTAGTTATTAGGTTTAATGTGAATGTAATAAATCTTTGTACAAATCAATTTTAAAATATACTTTCATAATATTCATAGTGCAGTCATCATTTGAGATATACCAATTGAGAACAACTAACTTAAGTTGACAATACAATGCTTTTGTATTTCATAATAAACTAGTAGCTCGGGATGCCTCCTAGTGGGTGTTCTTTACAAATTTCCATGAGGCACGGTTCCTTTGACTTTTTTGTTCCTATCAATATGTTCTACAGCTCTGTTAAAGTCCGAATGGTAAGATTTACCCTCCGAATGAAGAGGTGGCGACCCCCNGAAAAAAATATTGGAGTAGCCCAAGACATAGCAAAAGGTTGCAGTGCTACATCACTAGTGAGAATTTAAATTTGCTGACTGGAACGCTTTCGGTTAACCGATGTTTCGGTTTACTGGCTTTTGGATAAACGACACACTACTGTATATATAAAGCACCCTTTAAGGATTGTATAGACAATTAAAATCTACAAGTTTTGAAAATGAAAATGAAGTAAATATTTACCTAAAAATGGTCTGTAAAAAAAGCTGAAAACATTTGCAATTAAACTGTTTTTGCTGCATAGTGAAATTTAATGTTTTTGCATGCAACTGTGTGAAATTTGAAAATGAAAATGTTTGAATTTCTGATGAAACTATCTTAACTTTCCTGAATATTTCTCATTAATTAAGAAAAAAAAATTAACTGGTAAATTACATTTGAAACAATGTTATTTTTAATCTGAGAAAATATTACAAGATACAGACTATATGCAAACCTGGAATTATTATACCAGTATTACTAATCTACAGTATATCACTAATACTGTGGATTAGTGATATTAATTAAAAGATATACAGAAAATATTTGAATAAAAGAAATACCTGTCAATATTACTGAAAAATTCATTGAAAACAAGTTCAATTCCATCAATTTGGCAAAAATGAACTACTTAAATAAAGTAGAAAGTTTGTGTTTGTTAAAAACAACTTTCTAGATCAAAACCAAAATATTGACATAAAGCATCTCTTTTTGAACCTTTTTTTATGTTACTGTCAAAGACTAACAATGTAATAAATGTTAATAAATTTATTACAATAAATATGTAATAAAAATATTTTTATTCAACACTCACCACCATCAGTGCACGTTGAATGTCGACATTTACTGGTGTAAGTGAGAAATAATGATATTTAGCAAATATTTTGTACATACACGAAACGACTGTGAATACTGATATTCACCGGAGAATGTTGACATTCGCCAGATATCGGTCATTCACAGTAACATATATATAGATTTTTATTTCTATTATTACAGTTTACCATTAGTTGATTTTCATGTTCAAACATTTAAAGTATTTGAAACCAAATAAAAACTTACTTTATTACACTTTACTCTTAATTAGAAAGGATGCTGAAGATATTATTATAAATAAATAATCCATTTTGGGTCATGAATTTCCATGTTTTTATTGAATTCCAGTTATCATTTTGAAACAAACTCTGATCTATTTGACAACTGACAATTGCATGAAGTTTACATTTCTCTCTAAGTAAGCTTTAAATACAGTTTATGCAAGACAAATTTAAATATATTGATTAACGAAATTATAAGTTCACAGGAAGTATTACTTTGAAAACCTGAATGTGGTCATAAACATCAACAAAAATTTATATTCTTTCCAAAGCAAGCACTTTAATCATATTTGCTGTTGATTTTTCAAATATATATAGTTGCTCCTTAAATCATGTTACATAATAGTGGACTTCTTATAATTTTAGAATTTAATTTTTCTATATGTATATTGTCTACTTGGACCTTGTTAAGTTTCTGATTATCAAACAGAGGAGGTCTCTAGCCAAAAAACAAAACAATATATCTTTACTTTCACATGCTTTAAGGCAAAAGGAATTAATTTGTCTGCCTTTGAATTTGGCCAACAAAGAAGAAAACAGAAAACACTTGTTTAAACTTAAATAATATTTAAAACATTTAATTCATGAAATAATGCTAATATGTATTGGATGTTAATTAGAAGAATATATCTAATGACTATAGCAGCATCAAATCAACTTTTACATGTGCAACCACTAACAGTAAACTCTCTATACTTCAATAGATAGCTCAACTCCCAGCTGCTTTAGTTTATAATCCCTAATGCAATTCTCATGAAAACTCTTACATGAAAAATTAGAAACATAAGTTTGCCAAGTTAAAATTCTTGCCAGTATTTTAATAATTATTTAA